TATCTTTCGAATCCAGACTGACAAAGTTTTGGAACACAACACACCAGACATCACGATTGTGGAAAAGAAAAAAGTTTGGATTATTGATGTTGCCATACCAGATAACAGTCGCATTGAGGAAAACAACAGGAAAAATTCAGCCGTTATCAGGACCTCAAAATTGAACTGCAAAGGCTCTGGCATAAACCAGTACATATGGTCCCAGTGGTCATTGGCGCACTGGGTGCCGTGCCAAAAGATCTCAGCCGGCATTTGGAAACAATGAACATTGATACAATCACGATCTGTCAACTGCATCATTCTGTGTGCATCATTCGAAAATACATCACACAGTCCTAGATGCTTGGGAAGTGTTCAACTTGTGATTTTGTGATACGAAATCCAGCATATAGATCTCATTTGCTGTGACATACTGTGTTTTTGTGTCAGAATAATAATAATAATAATAACAATAATGAAGAGAAACAACTGGAAAAGCTGACATGATACTAGGATTCAAAGATCAAACTGGAAAGACTCTGGCACAAGCCAGTTAAGGTGGTATCAGTGGTGATCGGCACACTGGGTGCAGTGCCTAAAGACCTTAGCCTGCATTGAAACACAATCGGCGCTGACAAAATTACCATCTGCCAGCTGCAAAAGGCCACCCTACTGGGATCTGCGCGCATTATTCGCCGATACATCACATAGTCCTAGACAATTGGAAGTGTCTGATGTGTGATCCAATACAACAACCAGCAAAGTGATTTTGTTTGCTGTGTACTAACTTGTTGTGTTTCAGATAATCATCATCATCATCATCATCATTTTTATTTATATTCCACCCTATCTCCCCGGAGGGACTCAGGGTAGAGTCCAAACATAAAAGGCAAACATTCAGTGCCCGTACACAGCAACGATACACCCATAAGAACGACGTTTGGCAAGCCAACATATAGAAAAAAATTATGACTTAACGAAAATAAAATGAACGATGCAACCTGTTATATCAGACATAAGACAAAACATCAAACATCAAACAGAAGCATCAATTTCCCAGTCCTTAGGGGCAAGTAGATTGATCATTGTTCAAGATATCTATTGAGCTGGTGGGACGAACAGGGCATGGATACAGATGGTAGCTATTAATCAGAGGTATAATTGTAGTATTACCAACCAGTACTCCTCCTTTCCCCCCCCCCCCCACCTCCTCCTCGTAAGCCAGTGAGCAAGCCATATAATTCGAAATCATGATCTAGAAGCCATTCCAGTAATAATTGCACATAGTCTATCCACTTATTGTACTGCATTACTGTACAAAGGCTTGGTTCCATAACCATGTTTTTACTTTCTTTCTGAAGGTCAGGAGGGAGAGAGCTGATCTAATTTCTCTGGGGAGGAAGTTCCATAGCCGAGTGGCCACCACTGAGAAGCCCTGTCTCTCATCCCCACCAACTGCACATGCGAAGGTGATGAGAATGAGAGCAGGGTCTCCCCAGATGATCTTAACCTCTGAGATGGTCCAAAGAGGGAGATGCATTTGGACAGGTAAGCTGGGCCAGAACCATTTAGGGCTTTAAAGGCTAAAGCCAGCACTTTGAAATGTGCCGATAGTGGACTGGCAGCCAGTGGAGCTGATGTAACATGGGAGTTGTATGCTCCCTGTATGCCACTTTGGTAAGAAAGTTGGCTGCTGCCCATTGGGCCACTAGAAGTTTCTGAACAGTCTTCAAAAGCAACTCCACATGTGCTGGAGTAGTCCACACCAGCATATTGCAATGAAGTCTACTGTTTTTCTTGAATGCAAAGATATACAGTAATACAAATATGCACATTTTTAGGCCTATCTAGGATTTTAAGTGCACCTTTTAAACTCGTGTTTTGCAGCCAATGATGCAATTCAGCTCGCATTTTTGGCAAGCATCATCCATCCACACACCCCATTTTAATCCCCTTTTATCTTGGATTTTATGGCCTGTTTAAAAGGGTCCTCTTGCAAAAAAAATTAGCAACAGTGTTAGAAGTGAATTGTAGCCAGATGAGGCTGGTGTATTGGATTCCAGTATTTGTTCCCAGGCAACAACAGGAGAAAGTGAAAGCCCCAGGTCCCCTGGGAAGTGGCCTTCGTCTAATGGGGAGTTTTCACCAGAAGCTAGATTAGATTTTAGAATGGAGGGAGTGAAAAATAGACTAATTTTTCTGTAAGAAGATTTGTGTTTTTTTCCATTTTTGTGCGGATTATGTACCTTTAGCCCAGGCATGGGTAAACTACAGCTCTCCAGGTGTTTTGGACTTCAATTCCCACAATTTGGACCTGGAGCCCAAAACACCAGGAGGGCTCAAGTTTGCCCATGCCTGCCCTAGCCCCATCAAATGAGGAAGGCTAACTGCATAAAATTCTGGGTTTGGTTCATGCAAGTGGAGAGAGTGTTAAAGAGACATCTGTTGACTTTGTTATTTCCTTGTGTAAAGCCCCCAGTGTTTCAAAAGGTTGCACGTTCAAATCCATGGAGGGGTGTGAGCTCCCACTGTTAGCCCCAGCTTCTGCCAACCTAGCAGTTCAAAAACATGCAACTGTGAGTAGATCAATAGATACCATTCTGGCAGGAAGGTAATGGTGCTCCATGCAGTCATGTTGGCCACATGACCTAGGAGGTGTCTACGGACAACGCCACCTCTTTGGCTTAGAAATGGAGATGAGCGCCAACCCCAGAGTTGGACATGACTGGACTTAATGTCAGAGGAAAACCTTTTCCTTAAAGCCACCCATCTGGAATGCAAGGTTTTCAAACATTTCACAATACTCTCCTGAAAACAAATTAATAAATCCAGCCATCCCTGCTATCCACTTTTCTGGTGGCCTACCATTTCAGAGGAATGTGCAGTTTTCAAGAAACACAAATGCAAGACTCGGGTTCTTACAAGACTAGAAACAAAAGCAAAGAGCCTCAGATGCAGGAAATCCTGAAGTGATCTGCCCTTTCAATAAACGGACGTTTTCTGGAAAAGGTCAAAACGTACCCATGTGCCCCTAGGACTGGGAGTCTTTTAGTACTCAACAAATCATTTGTTTGACCTTAATGGTCTTCTGCCAAGAGACGGCAGCAAGGAAATCTTCTACAGATCGGTACTGTCCATATAGTGAGTTGTACTGGAGATCAACCTTCTGTTTCCTTTCACCCGCCCTCTCATTGAGCTTTTAGGCCAGGATGACCTTTTCACAGCCAAAGATGCCCTCATTAAGACAGCTGATCTCCTACTAAATGTTAATGTTTGTTGGGAAGAGCTCTAATGCGCTGTAAGCATCCGAGGAATGACAAGAAGAAAAACAATTTGGCATCATTTCCTGAATTAGTACCCTTTAAATGTCAGCTGTCCATGAGGATGTTACCTATGATTTGTAGGATCCCATTAAATCTCTCCAACCTTCATTAAAAGACTATTGATGTTTTTAATAAGCTAATTAAAACTTTAGAACGGGTGGGTCAGCTCCAAAATTCTTGGACGCCACTCTGTTTTTCAGACAAGTCGTGCCATAAACTGTGTAACTTCCAGCAATATTTATTTATTTCTTTATTTACTTCATTTGTATACCGCTTTTCTCACCCAAAGTGGTTTCAAACATATATACAGCAAAATTCAATTCCTCACATACATAAAAAACTAACATAAAACAATAATAACCTACAGCTATCAATTAAATCATAAAACACTATGACATTTAAACATTAAAACGTGGAGTTAAAAACATATTAATATAGATGTTAAAATCACACAATCAAACAATCCTAGTCCAGGCCTGTTCCAAATATCAATATCTATTGCACATAATCCCTGATCATTCCTTGTACTGCTTACTACCCAAAGGTTTGGTCCCATAGCCAGGTTTCTACTTTTTTCTGAAGGCCATGAGGGAAGCTGCTGATCCACTTTCACTGGGGAGGGAGTTCCATAGTCGAGGAGCCACCACTGAGAAGGACCTGTCTCTCATCCCCACCAGATGCAACTGCGAGGGAGGTGGGACTGAGAGCAGGGTCACCCCGTATCATCTCCGAGAGTGTTCATAGAGGGAGATACGTTTGGACAGGTAAGATGGGCTTAAACCATTTATAGCTTTATAGGCTATATTGAATTGTGCTGGGTAGTAGACTGGCAACGAGTGGAGCTTGTGTAACAGGGGGGTGGTGTGCTCCCTGAAACCCGCTCCAGGGAGCAATCCGGCTGCCACCCAATGGACCAATTGGAGCTTCTGAGCAGTCTTCAAAGGCAACCCTATAAAGAGCGCATTGCAGTAATCTATATGGGATGTAACCATAGCATGGACTACTGTGGCTGAGTCTGACTTCCAAAGCGTATGCGCACAACTGGCACACAAGTCTTACTTGTGCGAAAGCTTCCCTGGTCACAGCCGAAACCTGGGTTTGCAGGCTCAGTAAGGCATCCCAGAAGGATACTGTGGTATCTATGGTATCAAAGGCCACTGAGAGGTCCAGGAGAATCAACAGAGATACACTCCTCCTGTCAAGTTTCCTGTGCAGATCATCTACTAAGGCAACCAAGGCTGTTTCAGATCTATGACCTGACCTAAGCCAGACTGCACCAGATCCAGATAACTAGTTTTCTCCAAGAACACTTGGCATTACGGGGCTAGCGCACATTCCATGACTTTGCCCAAAAAGGGGAGATTGGATACAAGCCAAAAATTGTTCAATTGGGTCCACTCAATAGTGAATGAGTTGAAAGAAAAGATCTAATTGGACTACATCCAACTATCCACGTCCATGTCTTGTGTATCCACAAATTCAATAAAACACAATTTGAAAATGATAAGAAAAAAATCCAAAAGAAATCTTGGTAAAATACTTAGGGAAATGGACTGTAGACATATGTGCAAAAATGGAGGTGAAGCAGAGCAAAAGAGGCAAAATGACAAGAGCAGACCTAAGTCTCTTAGGTGTAGGAGCACATTTTAAAATGAAGCATTCAACACAGAAAAGAAGAGCAAATGCTGCCCTCCTTACCTGGTCCAAGTGATTGTAGAAGTCTATACTTGCTGCACACAGGTACCTCCCCAGCAGCGTTGCATGAGTTGTGAAAATGGTTGCAACAGGGATCTTCCTAAACCGGGAGAGGATCAGGCCAGGTCCTGCTTGCCATTCGTGGAAGTGGGCAATAACGTTGGGTTTGTCTTCTAATTGATCGGTAAGCTGCAAAGAGTTTAGAAATTGACATGTTATTTGATCTCCTTGACTTTATATACAGGTATTGGACAGTCTGGAAAAACTCCATAATCCAAAACACTTTTGGTCCCAATAATGGATAATGACCTGCATTAATTAAGCATCCCTTCCCCAAAACCTGTAAACTGGTGAGACTCACAAACCCATGCAACTGTGATTAGAAGGAAAATCTGTTACTCACAAGATCAACACCTTCCTGCCCATTTGGATGCCTCTCTCACCCTCCTCTCTTGCCTTTTTCTCTGTATGATGATCTTGGGAAGACATTTACCAGCTTTTACAGATATATTGTCCTGGTCTCTGTGCTCCTTCAAATTGGAATTATCAACAAGTAGGTTCATGTGCTTCGGTTGTGTTCTGATTTGACTTGTACATCTCCAGAATCTCTTTGAATTACCCTGACTAAGTCTGGGATCTGGTCAGATCTGATGTATTGTTGTAGCTCAGCAATCAGCTGAGGGTTTTTCTGATTTCTCTGACATCTCAGAGGACAAGTCTGTCAGTGTTAGAAGTGAATTGCAGCCAGATGAGGCTGGTGTGTTGGATTCCAGTACTCGTTCCCAGGCAACAACAGGGGAAAGTGAAAGTCCCAGGTCCCCTGGGAAATGTCCTTCATCTGATGGGGAGTTTTCATGAGAAGCTAGATTAGGCTTGAGAATGGAGGGAGTAAAAAATAGACTAATTAGATTCTCTGAGAGAATCTGTGAGAAGACTTTGAAGCCTAGGTGCATTTGCCATGATCTCACAGCTACTTAATCAGGCTTAAATTAACATTTTTCTTCGTGGTCTCTGCGAATGCACACTTGTGGAGAGACTGCGCCTGCGCGGGCTCCAACGGAAACTTCTACTTTTTAAAACTTTTGAAGTTTTGGCGGTAACCCCGCCCAGCCCCGACAGGGGATAAAAGGGCGCCCCGCGCACACCGATCCAATTCCTGTTTTTCCGCCGCACGGCTCGCTTCGGACTTCTAGTTGGATAGTGATTCTAGTTGGATAGTGATTCTAGTGATTCTTCGTAGAGTTTTTTCCTCGAGTTGTTGACTGGATTATGTCAACAACTCGCTTCAAAAGATGCGCGAACTGTCCGAGGAAGATTCCTGATTCGGACAAGCACGCTCTTTGCCTCTTGTGTCTCGGAGAGGCACATATTACCTCTTCGTGTCGTCATTGTCAATCTTTGACGGCACAGTCCCGTAAGAACCGAGTCTATCGTCTTCGATACCTTCTGTACCAGCAGACGTTGGCTCCGGTACCTTCAACATCGACATCGGCGTCGACGTCAGCCGCGGTGTCTAGACCTTCGACATCAGCGTCGACCTCGAAGGCATCGACAACAGCATCTGTCGATCCCTCGGCGGAGGCCGGGTCTCGCCAAACAAGGGCGAAGAAGGCCGCGCAAAAAAGGCCGAGAGCAGCGATGTCGACCACTTCGAAGGCCTCAGTGTCAGCGGCCTCTAAGGCTACAAAGCCTACGAAACAGAAGGCGCCATGCACGGTCACTACCGAGACCGTACGCATCCGACACTCGTCGACCAGCTCCGTGGCGTCGGTGAGATCGATCAGGTCCACGAGGTCGACGTCGGCGACTCCGCCATCTTCCACGGCGGTTCGCATTGCCTTTCGCCGGTCTCAAGAAGAGTCTCGGCGTGCTTCCACCTCTTCCTCCGTCCCGCCCACCCCGGGCAAGTCAGTGTCGAAGTCTGCTCAACCGCCGGCAAAGAAGAAGAAGGTGATGCCACCTCCGTCTTCCTCTTCTTCTTCTTCTCGGAAGCAAACCACTGCCTCCTCGGCCACCTCGTCGGCGAGGTCATCGCCGTCGCAGCCTGCAGAGCCCCAGCAGGCCCCGCAGCCGGTTCAGGAACCGCAACCTTTACCGGAGCAGCCTCTGGAGCAGCCCGTGTCCCCGGTGATCTCGGTGGACACGGTGATCGAGGCACCTACTCGCCATGTGACAGCCAGACAGGAGCTTTTCCCGTTGGTCACGACTCTGACTACTGTGACAGCCAGACAGGAGACTTCTCCAGTGCTGGAGACTCCGGAAAGGGGCAGACAGACTATGAGGTTGGCCCGTGCCATTCAGGCCTCGGCCTCAAAAGCTCCCCCGGTAGCGCCTCTGCAGCTTGCGAGTCGGGATGTCTCATCATCCCCTCCTCCCCAATCTCTGGCTGCTGATGATGAAGAAGAGGATGGCGAGTTACCGGGATCGGTACACTCGGGATCGGTGCTGTCTCTCGGGATCGAGAGATCGCCTACCCACGATGCCTATGAGGCAGATCCTCCATCTCCTACTGACAATGTCCGAGCCTTTGCGGATCAAATGGCTCGCATGGCTGATGCTTTAGGCCTGGAGGTCAAGCAAACTACCAAGGCAGTGCTAGACCCAGTGTTTAAGAGGGTGCAAGCGGAGTCCCCACCCGCTCCTCTCCTACCCTTCCTTCCCTACCTCCTTGAAGTGATCCAAGGCTCTTGGAAGACCCCCTCCTCCATCCCTCCAACCTCCAAGAAAATTGAGTCTTGGTACAGAACAGACGATGAGGGCTTGGAGTGGCTGAAACACCATCCCGACCCTAACTCGGTGGTCGTGAAAGCAGCTCAGGGGTTCGGAAGGCAGTCGTCGGCGCCGTCCGACCGTGAAGGAAAGAGGTTCGACGCAGTGGGCAGGAAGCTCCGGTGCCCTCTTGCTGGCCCGCATGGCGAACTATGGGGCTTGTATGGGGGCGTACCAGCAAATCCTTTGGGAAAAAGCAGAACCATTTTTCCAGAGGATGTCTGCCGAGGATCGTGCTGCCATGACCACCCTGGCTCAGGAGGCGAACTCTCTGGCGCATCATCAGATGCAGATGGCCAAGCACACGGGAGACACTGCGGGCAAGATGATTGCTCACGCTGTGGCAATCAGGAGGCATGCCTGGCTGAGATCATCTGGCCTCTCCACTTCATCGAGGCAGGTGATCGAAGACCTTCCGTTCGATGCCTTGGGGCTCTTCAACGCCGGGACGGATGACAAACTGAAGTCAAATCACGACTTCAAGACTCTGGCCTCCAAGTGTGGTTTTGAGAACCAAAGCCAGGCACAAAGAACCAGATGGTTCCAATACAAGCGCCGGCACACGGTCCCGTACCGCACCATTCAATACCGCCATCCAACCCGTCCCCTGCAAACCTCCCAACAAACCCACCCTCAACAACCCCAACAACAGCGGAGGCAGCATCAGCAGCAGCGTTCACGCTCTCGTCAGGCTTCAGGGGGCAACCAGGCCAGGCGCCGCATTTGACGCCCTGGCGGACGATACCGTTTGCAGTTTCGTTACCGATGTTGTTCCCATGTCCCTCCCAATGGTACCCGCCCTCATCCTTCCATCCGGCTCGACACCATTCGGAGATCGTCTGACGAACTTTCTCCCTGCATGGGAAAATATCACCTCAGATGCATGGGTTTTAAAGATTGTCGACGAAGGCTATGCATTGGAGTTCGAAGAGCTCCCACCAACAGGCCAGATTGTCGATACCGAGCCATCCTCGGCGATCCTGGCAGAGGTCGATACCTTGCTTCTGAAAGGGGCAATTTCCCCTCTCCTCGGACTCTCAAAACCATCGAGCCTTCTTCTCCAGATACTTTACTGTCCCAAAGCCGGATGGCTCCCTTCGCCCCATCCTCGATCTCAGAGACTTAAATTCCTTCATCGAACCTCGGAAGTTTCGGATGGTGACGGTATCGTCCATTCTCCCGCTCCTCAGATACGGAGACTTCTTCGCGTCCGTCGATCTCCGGGACGCTTACTTCCATCTCTCAATCAGAAAACATCACAGACGCTTCCTGGCCTTCAGGGTAGCGGGACAGACGTACGTGTTCAACGTCCTCCCCTTCGGTCTCGTGACGGCACCGAGAACTTTTACCAAATGCATGTCAGTGGTCGCAGCGGCCCTAAGAAGGGAAAAAATCCGCATTTTCCCTTACTTAGACGACTGGTTGTTGGCAGCACGCTCCCCGGACCTCCTGCAGGCGCAGGTGGCAAGGACGCTCTCCCTCCTCGAGGACCTGGGCCTCCAGTTGAACGAGGAAAAATCCCAACTCGAGCCCACCACTTGCATAAAGTTCATCGGCGCCATGTTCGATTCTCTCTCCCAGACAGTCTTCCTTCCGGAGGAGAGATTCAGGGCTCTTCGAGCCGAAACACTCAAGGTGCGTCGCTCCCGAGCGGTCCCGGCAAAACAGATACAGGTCCTCCTCGGACACATGGCCTCCACGGTGATGGTAACGCCGTTGGCAGGGCTCCGCTTCCGCCCCCTCCAGAGATGGTTCTTGGACCACTTCAACCCCATGCAAGACAGTGCCGCAAAGCGCCTGCTGGTACCGAGGTCGGTAAAGGACTCGTTGAACTGGTGGATGAACCGACAGCATGTCTGCAAGGGCATTCCTTTTCACCCAGAGCCCCCAGCCGTCACGATCACGATGGACGCCTCGATGTTCGCATGGGGATGCCATACAGGAGAACTCTCGGTACACGACCTCTGGTCTCCTCAGGAAAGGCAGTCCCATATCAACTACCTGGAACTGCTAGCAATCTTCAAGGCCCTGAGGGCATTTGCCTTGCTGGTCACGGGGAAGTCTGTCCAGATCCTCACGGACAACATGGTGGCAATGTTCTACGTGAACAAACAGGGAGGAACGGGCTCGAGAAAACTTCTCAAGCTGTCGCTGGAACTTTGGGACTGGTGTGTAGCCAGGTCGGTATCGATAACAGCGTTACACCTCCCGGGCGAAGCCAACGTCGAGGCAGATGTACTCAGCAGAACCAGGGCAACATCCCACGAGTGGAGGCTGAACCCCGACGTACTGGCGGAGATCTTCAGGGAATGGGGCCTCCCGGTCGCAGATCTCTTCGCATCGCCGCAAAACGCTCAGCTCCCGCAGTTCGGTGCTCGGCTTGCCCCGAACACGGTACCGGGGTGCCTCGGAGACGCGTTCCTGTTGGACTGGTCGAAGCATCTACTCTACCTCTTCCCTCCCTTCCCGCTCATCCCGAGGGTGATCGAGAGGATCCAGTCGGCGCAAACAAACTGCATCTTGGTAGCGTCGGAATGGCCACGACAACCGTGGTTCTCGGTCCTTCTTCAGTTGTCCGAGGGGCGGATGAAACGCCTCCCACTTCGGCAGGACCTGCTCTCCCGGGAAGACGGTCAGCTTCTCCACCCCGACCTCGCTTCTCTGCATCTTTCGGTGTGGAGGATCCGGTGTTGAGATCCCTGTGTCCAGGAGTTCTTCCGATCCTGGAGGCAGCTCACAAGCCAGCAACCAAAAAGTGTTACTCGGCGTGCCTTAGCCGCTTCCAGGCCTTCCTCTCCGAGAAGGGCCTAGATGACCATCGACCTTCGGTACCGGCAATTCTCTCGTTCTTGCTGCACCTTACCGAGCGAGGCTTGTCGCTATCCTCGCTCAAGTCTCACCTGGCGGCCATATCGTGGCAGCTTCAACGGACAGGAGAGGCTTCCTTGTTTAAGGATAGCTCTGTGAGATCCTTTCTGCGAGGGTTCAACAACCTGCACCCCCCGGTCCGCTCTCCGACTCCGGGTTGGAACCTTGACCTCGTGCTGGCGCGACTAGCGCAACCGCCTTTCGAGCCGGTGTCTTCAATTGAACTTCGGTTGTTGTCGTGGAAGGTGGCCTTCCTGGTCGCGATCACCTCAGCCCGTCGGCCGTCGGAGCTGGCGGCATTGCGGGTGGACGAACCCTATTTTGTTGTCCACGAGGATAGAGCAGTTCTCCGCACAGATGTGACATTCCTCCCTAAGGTCGTGTCCCCCTTCCATGTCAATGAAGACATTGTCCTTCCCTCGTTGTGTCAGTCCCCCTCTACCCCGGGGGAAAGGAGACTTCATATGCTCGATGTGCGGAGAGCATTACTGTGTTATAAAGACAGGACTGCTCAGTCTCGAAGGTCGCAGAGACTTTTTGTTGCATATGCCCTCGATAAGGTGGGCCTGCCGATCACGGCGCAACGTTTGTCGCACTGGATCACCTCGACCATCGAGCTTTGTTACCACTGGCTCGACAACAACCCCCCTCGGTCGTCCGGGCTCGGTCGACCAGGGCTATGGCGGCATCGACAGCCTTTCTTAAGGGGATTCCCCTGGACGCTATTTGCAAAGCGGCCATTTGGAAGAATCCTCAGACATTTATGTCGCATTACAGACTTAATACCAGACATACACCTGATATGGCCTTTGGGAGGGCAATCCTGGGCTCATGCCCGCCTTGAGTTTTGCAAATTTGATGTGTGTTGTATCGGTGCCGAGCGTTTTTCTCGATACCGTGTATTGCTGTGAATGTTATTACTATGTTGTTACTTGAATTCTTTGTCGGTGAATATAACCGCACTTGATGCCTTACTGCCTGAGGCGCAGGCAACCATTGCACTATGGCCTAATGGGCTCATCACGGGTATTCTGTGTCATTATCGATGGCTTTGCCTTGCTAATGTGTTGTGCATTTGTTAACAAACTGTTTTTGTATTACTGCTTAATGTGCCCTCATTATAATGAGTGTCTTCGATAATCACCATGTGGTTTATTTCAAGGGTCGTAAGTTTACTCGATTGTTGGTCACCCTCACGTGACCGGGAGGATCATGTACTCCCATATGTTTTATGTACCGTGCCCTTCTTTGGAAGTGATTGCAATCTCTTGTTATGCACTATGCCCTTCTTCGGAAGTGATTACAGTCTCTTGTTGATAACTGTTTTTGCACTTAATAAAATTGTTTGGCCCTTGACTTCAATGGTCGGTTTGCTTCCTTCCCGCCTCCGGGACCTGAGCTTGCTAGTCTCCACAAGTGTGCATTCGCAGAGACCACGAAGAAAAATGGTAGGTTACATACCTGTGACCATCTTTCTTCGAGTGGTGCTCTGCGAATTCACACTAACCCGCCCAGCCTCCCCTCTAAGCAAACCTCCAATTTCTCGCTACCGTAGCGGCGTAGGAATTGGATCGGTGTGCGCGGGGTGCCCTTTTATCCCCTGTCGGGGCTGGGCGGGGTTACCGCCAAAACTTCAAAAGTTTTAAAAAGTAGAAGTTTCCGTTGGAGCCCGCGCAGGCGCAGTCTCTCCACAAGTGTGAATTCGCAGAGCACCACTCGAAGAAAGATGGTCACAGGTATGTAACCTACCAATGTTGCCATAGGAATGGCTGGCTATTCTGTCTCTTCCCTCAAGTCCATGATTCAAATATTTTCAAGTTTCCTGTTCTGGTTCGTGCCTTTGTTTCCTTGAAAGGTTTACCTTGGAAAAGTTCCTGCCTTCGTGTTTATGGATTTACGTTTGAAGTTGTTGTTGTTCATTCGTTCAGCCGTCTCTGACTCTTCGTGACCTCATGGACCAGCCCACGCCAGTGTTCCCTGTTGGCCGTCACCACCCCCAGCTCCTTCAAGGTCAGTCCAGTCACTTCAAGGATGCCATCCATCCATCTTGCCCTTGGTCGGCCCCTCTTCCTTTTACCTTCCATGTTTGAAGTACTGCTGTGGATTTTGGTTCTCCTGATGTTATGTACTTTGTTATTTTTGGATTACTGCTATTTTGTATTCCCTATTCTACGGATCCCTTTCTGAACTGCCTCTTTGGCATTTTTTAGCTGGCCTTCTTCAAAAAACATTTTTAGATAGAACTACTGGACCATGATATGGTGCTAGGGAAACAGATGTATTCAGTGCTAGAGTGCAACAAGTATATTATTTATTTCCACAGAACTTGGTAATATTGTTGATAGGATAGTAAAAGATGTGGGATAAAATGTGGTATAGATATGAAATGTGTTGTGATATGTAAATAATAGCAAATATGGCCTATTGTATTGTTGGGAGTCTTCAATAATTTAATTAAGTTTAATTTGAAACTGTATTATTACTTCACATTGAGCGTACTGGTATGGGCTGGCTCTGATGAATATTTAGAGTAAATGCGTCTTATTATATCTGTGCAAAGTGCAAAAATTTAGACACAATACCTCTTTCAAGAACCAGGCAGTTAATGATCCAAAGATGAGTGAGTCATTTGCTTCTCGGTCGTGGTAAGGTATTCCGATGTGGCTTGCATCCCAGAATTCCCCTTTCCATTTGTCGAGATTCCAAGCTGCTGATCCTATATCGAACAACACCACATATGGGCTCCCTTCTATGAGCCACCTGCCAAAATACACCTGTTAAAGACAAATGGAGTTATTAAGTCCAACCCACTGAATTGGTGTTATCCATGCTTCCTGCTCAATCTACCAAAAGCAGATTATGCATTCCTTTCATTCAGTAATTTGGCACTTTCAAGATGCATCTGAAGGTGCTATGGATAGCAGAGAAATCATAAGTTATTTGTTGAGTAATCAACAATAATTTGGGTAATCTACCTGTTCTGCCTATTGTAGAGGGAGAGGACCATCTTTGGATGGTCCAGGATTTGTTTCTGCCAGTAGATGAATGTCAGTTATGACTATTCCTGGACAGCGCTAATCTGGCCATAGCAATTAAAATACTGTTACCTTCAAGATTGGACTATTGTGATACAGCTTGTGTGGCACTATCCTTGAACTATTCAGTACAGCCCAAACAAGATGCCAAAAATTCCATATTTGGGGATGCTGACCTTCCATTAAGACAGCAATATACGCTTCATGATATTTACATATATGAACAATATGTTAACATTGTCAAAAACTACATGGTTAAGGTAATCAATATTTTCATTTGGAATTTTGATAGAATACAAACAGCATCTTTATGATTTTCAACCTCACATGCCATGAGCTTCAACTTTCCTTATTACTGTTTTGAACACCTGCCAACATGATATGCCCATGATGAAATACCTCAGCTTGTTGCCAGCTGGATATCGAGCCAGGTTCAAGGTGCTACGTTTTGGCTCATAAGGTCCTATATAGTTCAGGACCAAGTTTTTTGAGAGTATCTGCCTTTTTAAAGTGTTTGATCTTGGTGCAATATAAATATAATACTTCAATCAATGTGAAGCTTATATATTAGACGCCTAAAACACATGTGAACCCAACAAGCCAAAAGGCAGAAATCATTCAAAAAAGGAAAACAATGGACAACTGGATTTCAGCTCCAAAGTCCTCTAAATGGGAAAACTTGGCTCCAAGAGATTTGTAGGGAAAGGGTAAGTTTCCAATTTAAATCTCCTTACACACATACAAAAACGTTTTTGGTCAGAAAGGGTTTTTTTTTTTTAGGGTAGTCTATCCATGTTTCTTATGTCTGTAACTTTTTCCATCCAGTCATCTTCTTCTGGAATCTCTTTCTTTTTCCATACATTTGCATAGCAAATGCTTGCTGCCATGTTTAGTAGGAATAGAAGTTTGTCGGTATTTCTATCTAAATTCTGATCTATTATCCCAAGCAGGAATGTCTCAGGTTTCAGGGGAATCTTTATATTTAATATTTTTGTAGTATATCTTGTATTTTTTCCACCATATCTTCGATTTCTCACATGGCCACCACATGTGGAAATATGATCCTTCCTTCTTTCCACATTTCCAACATTTTGTGTTTATATTTTTTATAACATTTTCCTAGTTTCTGTGGGGTCATATACTATCTATGTGACATCGTGATCCAGTTCTCCTTTAGTTCTACTGTAGATGTATATTTAATTTGTTGTCTCCAGATCTCTTCATTTTATTATATTCATTTTGACACTAAAAATACAATGGCCAAACACAATGGGAACAATGCAAATAAGCTCAGTCAGTCAGTCTAAGGTCATTCTGAAATCTGACTGCATTATCCAAGGCCTGGAAAACTAAGACTCAAATCCCGCTAAGAAGACTTGCAGATAAATGACTTTTTAACCATGTAATTGGATAAACAGGGTTCCTTTTTCAAAAATAACCTGTAATGAATAGACTTTGCAGGACTAATACCTGTGCAAACGGTGAGGGGGTTGGCTGAGGTTTGCCGAATGTAACTTTGACTGAGACGAGTGTGGCAAGCAGAAAGACAAGAGCATTAACTGGATCAGTTAATCTCCTCCGAGTCCGCTTAGTTGCCTCAGGAAACAAAAGGACAATCTTATTTACCTGACACCCATTGTCCTGCATGATATCCATTGCCTTTTTCACGGCTGGACTGGGAGGTTCACAGACTTCCACCTGCGTTTTCATGTTGTGTTCAAAATATGGGCCAATAAGGAAATAATTCTCACCCCACTCATCCAAGGTGATTTTGGCTTTGGTCTGGATCACTGTGTAGATGCCACCAACTGGAAGAGAATAAGCACAACATAATAACAGAAGGAGAGTAAAACTCTTAAGTCAATGCAGATGGAATATTCAGTCCTTTGTTATGATTACAGTGCACATTAGGGCACAAATATATTATTTAATTCAGGAAATCAATTATTTGATGGGTTGTTGCAGGTTTTTTGGGCTGTATGGCCAAGTTCTAGAAGCATTCTCTCCTGACATTTCATCTGCATCTATGACAGGCATCCTCAGAGTTTGTGAGGTCACAACCTCTGAGGATGCCTTCCATAGATTCAGGCGAAATGTCAGGAGAGAATGCTTCTAGAACATGGCCATATAGCCCAAAAAACCTACAACAACCCAGTGATTCTGGCCATGAAAGCCTTCGACAATACAATTATTTGATGTCTAGTTTCCTTTAGTTCTTATGTTCATTGTAATCTAGGTTGGATATCCTTTATCTGGAATTCTGTTGTAAAACAATGTTTTGTGTTTTGTGTGTTTTCCACCTATGTAATTGCGAAGCCAATAGGAAATTACCTGGGGAGGCTATTCCCATCCTGAATCCCTCGGCATCACTTTATATTGAACACGAACAATTAGGAAATATTGTATGAACACCAAGCAATAGCATCCTGCGGAAACGTATTGGCAGAGCAATGGGTGCAGACCCAAAATTAATAAAAAACATCAGCCTTGGCCTTGTCTTACTCAACTGCTGAGTATGCCTGCCCTGTTTGGCACAAGTCTGCCCACGCGAAGAGGGTGAATACAGCATTGAATGAAACATGTAGGATAACCACAGGATGTCTCAAACCTACACCTGTCAATAGACTCAACAAGCTAGTTGGCATTGCCCCCACTCCCCCACCGGATGTATGACGTGAAGTTTTTGCCAACTGTGAAAGAAATAAGGTTGAACACAGTGAAAGCCATCCACTGCATAGCTATCAGCCGCTTCCCAGTAGATTCAAAACAAGGAAAAGTTTAAGAGAACCACCACTTATCTAAATGTTCCTCCAGCAACACCAAAAGTATCCCTCTGGGCAGCTAAACCAGGCAATTCCAACTGGATGGCCCTTCGCTGGGGTCTTCCTCCAGGGGCAAAACAAGAATGGTGAACTTGGAAGTCCCTGAACAGACTCAGAAATGGAGTGGGCAGATCAAACGACAACCTGGCTAAATCGCACTACCTTGAAGGATCCTCCACCTTGTGCAACCTTGTGCAACTGTGGAGCAGAACAAACAACTCTGCACCTTTATGCTTGCCCACAATGCCCTGCCTCATGCACAAAGGAAGAACTATTTAAAGCTACAAACAATGCAGTCACTGTTGCCCATTTTTGATCTAAAATTATTTAGCCACTTGTGTTCCCTCTATTTTATCAGTTTTGTACTAATTTATTGATGCAATGCTTTTGACATGAAATAAATAAATCTGGAATTCTGAAACCTGAAATACTCCAAACTGTCCACACAAGTGGCTAAAATCGTGACACCATCACTTTCTGATGTTTCAGTGCACACAAACTGTATTTCAGACACATAAATACCATGTAATAAAATTATCTTTGGAATATGTATGTAAAGTGCACTGGCAAAAATGAGAATTAAAGATTTAACTGTATGCTGCTTTGTTTTAGTGAGCCTGATCAACTTTTTAAAAATATTGTATAAAGTTATCTTCGGGCTATGTGCAGAAGGTGGCAGTGAAACATAAATGAATGTTGTGTTTAGACTTGAGTCACATTTCCAAGATAGCTTATTATATAGATACATATACAAATATAGGTACTCCAAAATTCAAAGGATCCAAAATACTTCCAGTTCCAAGCATTTCAGATAAGGATACTCAATTTGTATGTTATCCCAATTACTTTGTTACCAAGCTCATTTTATCAGCAGATATTATCAGAACCTATTTAGCTTTATAGACATTCAAAAATCCACCTGATATCAAGACCAGATAGCTGGGGAATGACTGGAACTGCACTGTGATGCCTAGAACAAGATTACTGTGCCACAATCTATTTCTGAAAACTCAAGATGGTGTCTTGAAGGCCAATGCTGGCTAGTTTTCAATGGCATGATCCCTGATAATAGCCTATGCTGGTCTCATGAGACCAGTTGCAGGAGATGAGAAAGTCTTCTGCTTGTGACCCTAGAGAACCACAGGTGATGAGAGCGGACCCAACAGGTCTACATGGACATGCCATTTCCCATTCTCAATATAAGGATTTAGAAATGGATTTTTTGGATGACATTTTCTAAAATACTTCAACTAAAATGTCTATGTTAGCCAAGTTGGTTGGGAGCTGTAGTCCCAAAAGTAACCTTCTCCAGCCTTGCAGGATTAGACATGCTAGATATGACAGATTAACTCAACAGTGTCCTATTTCTCTATGACCAACCAGATTCTGAAAGCCCATATACACAATACAGTGCACCTCCTGTATCTGTGAAAGATACGTTCCAGGACTTTGTGTGAATATGCAAAAACGCAGGTAATAATAGACCCTATTTCATTAGGCATACCATAGAGTTGTGCTGGAGTACTTATGTCCTTCTATGGTCAACTTCTGGTGGAAACATAACATAGATTCATCTGAAGGATCTAGAAAATGCCTAGTGGGGACCTATTTTGTCAGACACAGATAAATGAAACTGTGGGTACCAGCCCTGTGGTTATTGGGGGTGGAGGGCATACCATATCACTGCTTGTCTACCAGCAAGCAGTCTCCAGAAATCCACTTCAATGCTCCATTCAGCTATTGTGACCAATGCATCACAAGAGTCTCAATAGCTATGTCTCAAAAGAGGATTCAAAGATTGTGGTAGCCATGTCGACCCTTATTAAATAATGTGTTCTAGCAGGTTTCTACCCAAAGGATAGCATTTTTCAAGCTAGTGGGTTCTATTTCTTCATTCAATCCAAGCTGCATCAAAACCCTTGGCATTACAATAGAGATAGGCTACTATATACTTTTGCTAAGGAAATTCCACTTCTTCTGATCCACCTCAAATTACTATGAGTATTTCAACTAAGCTTACAGAACATAATAATTGGGACGGGGGAGAGGGCAACAGAGAACATGATAAGCCAAAATTCCTAGTGATTCAACCTTGTGAACTCTGGATGTACTTTAGCATGATGTAGATTTACATGATCTTTTTTCAAACCTGGTGCACAGCAGTGGAACAAACTGGGCAGACTGTTCCATTTGCTTCTTCTTGCAGTGGTTTTTCTGCTGACGTAGTCTGCACCCGCTGCGCCCGACAGATCAGCTTTTGGCTACTTAGGTAGCTGTGAACCCAGCCTGCCATAGTAATCCAAACACAGCATCCCTAAGATGATAAAAAGAGTCCTGGCCATCGTAGCACGTGGAATATACAGGCAAAGGCAGTGCCATGTGCTCCAATTGCCCTTACTTTGCAAGTAACTGTCAACCACTACTGACACCACATCTGCACCTATGAGTTACAACACTTTGTGTGTGTGTGTGGGGGGGGGGGGATTTGTAGTAATGCATGAAGATATAAAACTATAATAATCATAGGTCAAAGTAGTGATTGTGACTTATAAAGCCCTATATTGCTTATGTTCAGGCTGTCAGATGGACTGGATTTCCCAATATGAGCCTCTGAATCTGGCCACCTTCACAGCTATGGCTGGTGGAAACTCAAGGAAAGGCCTACTTCGTGACGGCCCCTATATTTTGGAATTCTTCCCCGAGGAAGCTAGAACAGCCCACTTTTTGCTATTCTTCCATCAACAGATTGACATTTTTATTTACTCAGGTACACTTTTGGAAAGGAAGATTTGCTTTTTAGCTTGCTTTAAATTGTATTGTATGACATTTTTTAAAACCCAGTGTGTGTTTTTGGTTAATAGTTTAATTAGATCTAACCTTTTGCTTTTCATGGTAATATTTTAAAGGTGTGTAGGACATCTAGAGAGAGTCAGTATGGTGTAGTGGTTTGGGTCTTGGAAAATGACAGTGGAGACCAAGGTTTGCATTAATTCCCACATAGCCATGAAAAACCCTGACCAGTCACACAGTCTTAACCCCTTAACCTGAGATCACAACCAGACACAGTGAAGACATCTGCCCTTGTGCTTTGCTACTCTGCTGCTGAGTACGCATGCCCAGTGTGGAATACATCTCACCACGTTAAAATGGTGGATGTGGCTCTTAGTGAGACATGCCGCGTTATCACAGGATGTCTACACCCAACACCACTGGAAAAATTGTACTGTTTAGCCAGTATTGCACCACCTGACATCCTCCAGGAAATAGCAGCCTGTAATGAAAGGACCAAGGCATTGGCATCTCTGGCACATCCTCTGTTTGGATATCAGCCAGCATGCCTTAAATCAAGAAATAGCTTTCTAAGATCTACAGAGATACCTGCAGGAACACCTTAGCAAGCGAGAGTCCAAAAGTGGCAGGCTAAAACCTGGAACCTCAATCAATGGCTGATACCAGATAAGAAACTCCCTCCTGGGCACACAAAAGACTGGGGCTACAACATGTGAATGTGGAGAAGAGCAAACCACATACCACTTACTACAATGCAGTCTGAGCCCAGCCACACACACAATGGAGGACTTTTTCACAGTGACACCAGAGGCACACCAAGTGGCCAGGTTCTAGTCAAAGGACATTTAGTATAATGCCAAGTTTAACTTTGTTTTTGTTTTTAAATACATTGTAACTGTACCCTCAACTTGCTTCTGACACAATAAATAAATAGTCCCAGAAAACCCTGTGATTGGTTTGTTTATGATCACCGTATTTTGGAAACTACTTGAAGGCACATAATAGCAATAATAACAACAATTGTGCTAGACTGATCTTGGGAAAAGGTGGGATATAAATGTTAACAACGATAGTTGGTATGTACACTGTTCCCAGTTCTCTTGGAACTAGAAATTAGAAACAGAACAGATGCTTGAATCAGACAATTAGCCCATCTAGCTCAGTATTGTTAACACTGTCTTGAAGAACCTCTCCATTTTCAGGAAGGTTTACTATCCTTGCTTGGAAAGCCTGGAACTGAATCTGTGGATTTCAGCCTGCAAATAATGTACTCTGCCATTGAGTTTCAGTCATTCATGAGAAGTGGGAGAGCAGAGCATTGGGCACGAGCCTGGAAAATGCTAGATGCCATAGTCCTTCCGCTATTTCTTCATATATGATGCATTATACTGCACCTATCAAATTTTGCCGGGATTTGCTCAGAGTTGGTCTTGCCTTTCCCTTTCTTGGAGAGAGCATGATGTGCCCAGGATTACCCAGTGGATTTCCATGGCTGGATAAGGATTCAAACCCTGCTTTCTAGAGTCATAGCACAATATTTAAACTATTATATGTTGGCTCTCAATTACAATCTCCAGTCTTTGTAAATCTTATTGCAAAGGGTGTAAATCTCCCATTACTCTAAGAAAATTGTGACGCTAAAACAATAATGGGGCCTGTAAAAGGATGTGGGCTGCACGCAATCCACTTCTGTGCACTTTCTGGAGTTCGCTGACCAAACACACACAAATAATAGTGTTCCTAGAGACCTAGGGAGTTTGTCGAAATTTTGTGTAATTATTAATATTTAAATGCTATTAACTCTGAAGTAGTTTTGGCTTCATCAAAAGGTCCAAAACCATTTTGTGGGGTCTTCACAGGATAGAAAATACAACAAGCAAGACTTCCCAACCCTCTGTAGTTGCCCACCCACATGCTAAGGTTGCCCTGGCACATCCATCTTCTGTACCCTCACATTTTCAGCCACTAAGATATCAGAGGCCCACCTAATATTTGTCCTCTTGTGGTTAAGATTTAGCGATAACAAACTACTCTCTCAAATAATCTTCTTTTTTATCTTTACCCGCACACAGAGGGAGAGAGGGGAGGTCAATCATTTACTCATAGGTAATTCATTTATGCTACTACAGCATTGTAGAGTTTGTCCCAGAACTCAGTTTGGGCTGTATTTTTGGAATATAAAGTGCTCTTGTTTTGTTTTGACTGTGTAGCTGCTCTACAAAAAAAGCAACATGGGTGGTTTTTGGACATTCAAGGATCATATACTTGGATTCCACTCTTATGCAGTAGGTTCAGGCAAAAGCAAACTGCTGTGGCCTGGCCTCTCATCACTTGTGTTGTCTTCTTAATAACGTCTGAGATACTGACCACATTCTGATAATGCTTGGCCAAAGACGTTCAGATTTTCATCTGTGATATGTTGGTGGGTATGCAACCCACTAGCCATTAGCAATAGTAGCAAAAAGCAAGTGGTAGATTGACCCACTGTCTTTTCTCTTTCTATATCATTAGGATGGACCCTCCAGTGACACAGGTGGGTTAAAGATGACCAAAAGGTCATAGGTTTGAATTCGGGGAGTGGCTTGAGCTCCTGCTGTAAGCCCCAGCTTCTGCCAACTGAGCAGTTCGAAAACATGCAGATGTGAGCGGATCAATAGGTACCACTCTGATGGGAAGGTAACAGTGCTCCATGCAGTCATGCCAGCCACATGACCTTGGAGGTGTCTATGGACAATGCTGGCTCTTTGGCTTAGAAATGGAGATGAGCACCAAATCCAGAGTTGGACACAACTGGACTTAATGTCAGAGGAAAACCTTTGCCTTTACTATCATTAGAATGCTGAGAGAGAGAGAGAGACTCTCATATCAAAAGTTTGAACTGAATGCTTTCAAAAGGCTTTGCCAATTACGCCAAGGTTGCCGGTCTGAAGTTTGTAAATGAGACATTTGATTTATTTGTTTTATCTAATAATAATATAATAACAATAACTTTATTTTTATACCCCGCCACCCTCTCCCTAAGGGAACTCAGGGTGGCTTACATGGGGACAAGCCCAAGAATCACAGATAAAACAACAGCATTAAAATGGATCTTCCAAAGGTTCTGGTGGGTTGTAGTTAGTACCTATGCTTGTGCCTTTGGTTGACTTCCATGCCAAAGTCTTCAACCTGAACAGATTTTGTTTTCATAACCAGAGTTGTTGTATGAAACAGTACTTGCCAAAATGGCCAACATTATCATCATGCTGAATTCTGAACTTCTATGAGGTATTTAATGGGTTTCCTAATGTTTGGGCATAATGAAAACAATGGGGTTTTGATGGAAGTCCTGCCAAAAATAATTTAGTACAGTCAAGCTATTAATAGGCATATAGTTCTGTGTTGTACACAGGACTTAATGGACCTTGGAGGTGAAAAGGGCGGACACAATTCTAAATATTCTCTAGATTTCACCATTGAGTGTCTTCAGTGATGAACAGTGTCATTTGGGAAGGGAACAACTGTCAAAATACAGGTTGAACATTCCTTTTTCAGAAATCCAAAAAGCTCAAAAATCTAAAATTGTTTGCACAGGTGGCTCAGATAGTGACACCTTTGCTTTGTGATGGTTTAATGTGCACAGACTTTGTTTCATGCACAAAATGATTAAAAATATTGTATACAATTATCTTCAGGCTATGTGTATACATGAATCATAAACATTTGGATTTGGGTCCAATCTCCAAGATATCGCATTATGTATGTATATGGAAATGCAGGTGTTAAAAATAAAATAAAAATCCAAAACTCTTCTCGTCCCAAGCATTTTGGATAAAGAATACTCAATTGGTAATTAATTTGATGCCTTAAGCCTCATAACAACAACAACAACAACAACAACAACAACAACAACAACAATAATATTTATTGATTAACCCTTAGGCCATATCACAATACCATACAAACAACAAGGCTTGATAAGACTTGGTTACACTCTATGTCAGTGTTTCTCAACCTGGAGGTTGGTACCCTTGGGGGGTCATGAGAGGGTGTCAGAGGGGTCGCCAAATACTATCAGAACACACAGTATTTTCTGTTGGTCGTGAGGGTTCTGTGTGGGAAGTTTGGCCCAATTTTATCATTGGCGAGGTTCAGAATGCTCTTTGATTATAAGTGAACTATTAATCCCAGCAACTACAACTCCCAAATGTCAAGCTCTATTTTCCCCAAACTCCACCAGTGTTCACATTTGGGCATATTGAGGATTTGTTCCAAGTTTGGTCCATATCCATCATTGTCTGAGTCCACAGTGCTCCCTGGATGTAGGTAAACTACAACTTCAAAACTCAAGGTCAATGCCTACCAAACCCTCCCAGTATTTTCTGCTGGTCATGGGAGTTCTGTGTGCCAAGTCTGGTTCAATTCCATCATTGGTGGAGTTCAGAATGCTATTTGATTGTAGGTGAACTATAAATTCCAGAAACTACAACTTGCAAATGACAAAATCAATCCCCTCCCCAACCTCACCAGCGTTCAAATTTGGGTGTATTGTGTATATGTGCCAAATTAGGTCAAGTGAATGAAAATACATCCCGCATATCAGATATTTACATTACGATTTATAACAGTAGCAAAATTAGAGTTATGAAATAGCAACAAAAATAATTTAATGGTTGGGAGTCACCACAACATGAGGAACTGAATTAAGAGGTCATGGCATTAGGAAGTTTGAGAAACACTGCCCTATGTAGTAAGTTAAATAAGACACTTATAACAATACAATACAATAAATATTATAAAAGTGAATATATACATCATATTTCCTTATCACCTCCACAATTTACTCCGATCAGCTATGATCATAAGAAATTTCTCTTCCTTCCCAAAAGGGAATTTTTTTAAGGTAAGACATTTTTCCTGTTCAATAATGAGACTGCCAACCATTCCAAGCCAAATCCTAATTCAATACCATGACACCTCTGCGTCCATTCACTCTTGGCCTGTTTGGCAAGGTGTGCAAAATTTTTTGTATCCCATGCAAGCTCAGTCTGTGTAATACAGATTTCCCCAAATGGCGGAGAACTTATATAGACAAGAGCATCTCTAGATACGCTGGAACTTGCACTTTTTTTTTTTACTTTTACCAACTAGAGATCATACATGGTTATATAGTTTGTTTGCATAAGCTACAACAGACTGTGATTCAGTGTGGCCACATCCATCTGGTGCTTAGAGAATTTCATTCAAATGCCAAAGGTGATTCCTATGCATACCAGTTGCTTTTAACCCCCTTTCTTTACCACCAAATCATTTGCATCCCTTCTCCCACCCCATTTAGGCAATAACGCAGCCAGAAGTCAACTGCTACCAATTACCTTCTTGGCAAAAATATAGGTACCAAGTAGTTTTTACTTTTTTGCCTTCTAGATAACAAAAACCCTTGGTACAAACCTTTATTGGTGACTTCCCACGCCACTTCAAATAGCAATAGATCCTCCACTGGGAGATCTTCATCTTCCCATTGAGGTAGCCCATTGAGAGAGGTGACCGAAAGGGATCGCACCAAAGGCATTGCTGATCCTAGTATTTGTGCCGGACAGAACAATCTTTTGTAATTCTTTTTCAGCAATTCCCTTTCGAAAAGTTAACTTTTGCCCTTCTGGTTGATCTTGTGGTTAGCGCAAGAGAGAAAGATCAGCTTGAAAAAGTCAAGAAATGTTGGGAAAAAAGCAAAACTTGTCCAGAATACGTGATGGATAATGGATTTAAAAGAAAAACAGTGCTTGATCACCAGTCTTTGAACTGGCTCAGCAAAAGCCCCACAGTCTTGCTTGCTTGGAGAGGTGATCGCTGTCACTGTTGGCTTGGAGGTTCAGGGGAAATCCCAATTGGCTTGTAAGGTGAGGGCAAACACAGGCCGCGAGGGATCAGCCGAAAATCACCAGCAGCCTCACAGTCTTGAAAGCCCCTTGGCTCAGGGATCAGGGAGACTGCTCTGAATTGCCTTAAGCCAAGGCTCGCAGGCAGGAGAAGGAGGATCAGGGCTTAATACCACTCTGTTTAAGCCCTGCCCCTTCTCCCTTTCCCACCAGACACATGGAGAGATCACAGTTCAAGTTGGTTCCAGAGAAAGTGTGTTTGCATTCTGCCACTTTGGGGGAGCGGGAAACAAGATTTTACAAGAATAACCACTAAAATATGCCTAAATTCCACACTATGGGCAGGAGTATCATGGAGCCTGGGAAATGCAGGTAACCTAAGAGGCAGCAAAACATGCTATCTCATTCATTCTGTCCCTACGACTCTTTTTTTTCATATGTAAACTTTCACCATTGCACCTGGTCCCACCCTGCCATGTACCACAAACTCCTTTTTTAGAAGGATGTATTTTGATTAAATGAAGAAAGGTGTATCTGCCAACATTTTATGGATGAAAACTGGGGGCCCATCCAGACAGGGCACAAAACACACAGCCTCTCGCGTTTTCCCCTGGGGCATCTACATGACATCTCACGGAAAAACTATTGGTTTTGGCACAAAGCTGGAAACCTCCTCTTTGTGCTGAATTAATTTGATGGTGGGTTAGAGCCACGCCTTCTTGAAAGGCACGGTTTGAACCCATTATGGCCACTGTCAGGACTGCCCCCCTCAGAAATTCTGGACTTCTGATTGGGCAGTCCAGACAGCAGTCTTGCATTTTTCAGGCTGATTCAGCTTGGAAAACCACAAAGACACCAATCCCCTTCCCAACCCCCAACCCCTCACAAGCCTTTAAAAATAAAGTGTTACTGGGCTGGTGTTTCCTTGCTGCCAACCCTCTCCTGGCACATTGAAATGACATGCCAGAAGAAGAAGGGAGAAGGAAAATTGCTCCTGGTCTTCTTGTTCTCCTGGTGCATCATTCCAACACACCAGGAGAGGGTCGACAGCAAGCAATACCAGAGTAAGATCAAAATGAATGATGAGGAAGAACACACAAGAGATGAGAGGATTCACCTGAGTCTACAAGGAAGAGAAAGATTTCTCCCCATTCTTTCTTCTCTCTTTACTGAATTAAGTGCAAACTGTGACGGCACGAGTGGTGCCACCTATATGTAGAACTGTAAGTTGCAAGATTTGAACTGTTGTATCATGCCTGATTTTGCCTTTTTACCCTGTATAGTTGGATTGATTGGTTATTTATAGCTGCCAATCAATGTTGTTTGCACCAGTTATATTGCTTCCTCAGCTCAATTGCATGGCCCCACCTCTTCCTAGAGAGCAGGACAGTGTTTCCTTTTCCATTCCACCATCAAACTTTCTATCAGATGGACGTGAGAGAAAGACTTGGCTCTAAAAACCCTTGATTAAGTTACCTCTCAGCACCAATTCTGAGGTTCTTACCCTTGAGACTTATGCTTCATGTTCAGATCAACCTGGACGACGTTGAGAAGTCTCAAGTGCCTTCAAACCAGTTCTTTGGCACCAGAGGAAGGCTTTGTGTCTTCAAACATAGGCCAGTTTTCTTAAAGGAGGGCAAGAAGCAATCCCCTGTGGAAAGATGTCACGTCCGTGCTTCTTTCACTAAGAGTTATAGCCCCCAGGCACGACGGCACACAAACTATTTTTACATCTTGAACTCACTTTGCAGCAATTGAACTATGCTGAGGACAAAAAGGGAATGTGAGCAGAGGAGGGGGAAACTAGGACATTTTAAAGCACTGAAAAAGAGATGACAAGATCAATCGGGACACTACACTACAATCCCTATTTTAAAAAAGGGACAACTGTGTGCCTGTGATCTGGGGCTGAAGCTAAAGCATTCCATGGCTATTTTCATTCATCTGTCCCTTTGTTCCTTTCTTTCCCGTCCATAGTATTGTGGTATTATTTTACTGCATCCAACCAACTTCAGCAAAGTGCAACACATTAATCACTGTGTGATGTGTGAGGTTCAATCTGACACATTTAATGTTTATTCAAAACCCAAAGTAACAAGAATCAGTTCACAGGTGCATATAGAATAGTAAGCCTTGAAAGGTTTAATAGAGGAGAGTGAGTAATAGAAGGACTTCATCCCAAGTGCTAAGTAAAGCGTTGGGAATTGTTGTTTTTCCCTTTGGTTTTGCAACATCTCGTTTGGAAATTCTTTTCTAAACAAAGTTATTTTTATTGACCAGCCAATTGGCCTTATCAAAACAGACAATATAAACACAACATACAGTATATATCTTCCCATTACACAGGAGACATATTTCTTCTCCCACTGTCTCATCTCCCATTTTCTTTGGATACAAAAAAAATCCTCTTTGTTTTTTCTTGTGGAAGCAATCTTTCATGTGAGAATAGGATTTCTTTTATTTGTGAGCATGCATATTTGAAAATGTGATAATAATTTATCTTGTAAAGAGAAATTTATAGTACGATTTCTCTTTGTAAGTACAGATTTTTTCTCAATTAAAAGGGTAACTCTATTGAATTTAAACTGATAAAAAATATATAAATTACCGTTCCTTCCTCCTCAGTTCCAAGAAAGATAATGGCGGAAGAAAGAAATCTATTGAATTTAAATTGATAAAAATATATACATTACCATTCCGTCCTCCTCGGTCCCAAAAAAGATAATGGAGGAAGAAAGAAATCTATACTGATCGTCCCACCTCCTCCCTCCAGATCAACATCACCATTGTGTTTACAAGTGGACAATGGGGAATTCCCATCACACATGAAATTTGATGTTTTTACCCATCTCTACACAGGGAATTTAAAATTAAATCGATTGCCAATCGATTTACACTTGAAAAACAGCAAAATTGTTGAATATAATAATATAACAAAACTTTATTTATATACCACTCTATCTCCCCGAGGGGACTCAGGGCGGTTTCCAAGTAACAACATCAAAACATACAGAGTAAACAACATAAAATTAACGAACAATATAAGCATAAAATTATCACAATAACACATATATATTAAAAGTAATCCTACCTGTTCTTTATGCCTATTTGTTAGGGCAAGGGGAAAAGAGTCAGAACAATTTAAAAGGGTCGGGCTGAGGCTAGTGCAAAATCAGAATCTGAGGGGCCCAGAGATTCGGTCCATTGCTATAACAGACTAACAGCAATAGTAGATACGGGCCTGTGGCTGCTCTTTTCCAGGGCCTATTAGAGGAATGACCAGGGTAATAGGCAGGAAACCTATGGACTTACATTGTGTGATGTGCCATTTCAGTAGCCATTTCTTAAGTATGTAGAAATGTTTATTTTATTGCGTGTGATGAAGTCCTAGGTTGAATCTCCTAGCTGATTTGAGTTTCTTTTGGGAGAAAAAAAGCAGGATATAAATACTATTACTATTACTACTAATAAAATGATGAAGATAATGATGCTAACAACAACAAAAATTAAACCAAACATATTGGCTAATGGAAAAGTCTCCCCTCTTAAATTGAGTCTGTCTGGAGGCTGAAATGCAGAGGTTTCCCTCTAGTGGGCTATGGATCCAACATGTCTTTGCATAAAATATTTAAGGGATGGTTTATAGCACATTTTGCTGGAAATGCCAACAATACATAATTATAAAGCATGTTCTCTCATATGGGAAGATAGAGCTTTTATTGAAGACTTTTCAACAACGCTGTCCATTTAACAAGTGACATGTTGTTGTTGTTCATTCGTTCAGTCGTCTCCGACTCTTCGTGACCTCATGGACCAGCCCACGCCAGAGCTCCCTGTCGGCTGTTACCACCCCAGCTCCCTCAAGGTCAGTCCAGTCACTTCAAGGATGCCATCCATCCATCTTGCCCTTGGTTGGCCCCTCTTCCTTTTTCCTTCCATTTTCCCCAGCACAATTGTCTTCTCTAAGCTTTCCTGTCTTCTCATGATGTGGCCAAAGTACTTCAACTTTGTCTCTAGTATCTTTCCCTCCAATGAGCAGTCGGGCTTTATTTCCTGGAGGATGGACTGGTTGGATCTTCTCGCAGTCCAAGGCACTCTCAGCACTTTCCTCCAACACCCCAGTTCAAAAGCATCGATCTTCCTTCGCTCAGCCTTCCCTAAGGTCCAGCTCTCACATCCGTAGGTGACTACAGGGAATACCATGGCTTTGACTAGGCGGATCTTTGTTGCCAGTCTGATGTCTCTACTCTTCACTATTTTATCGAGACTGGACATTGCTCTCCTCCCAAGAAGTAAGCGTCTTCTGATTTCCTGGCTACAGTCTGCATCTGCAGTCATCTTTGCCCCTAGAAATACAAAGTCTGTCACGGCCTCCACGGTTTCTCCTATTTTCCAGTTGTCAATCATTCTTGTTGCCATAATCTTGGTTTTTTTGACGTTTAGCTGCAACATAATTGTATCTAAATCAGCATCTCATTCTCTCTTGCAGCTCTCAAAGTCTGAATAATTAAAAAAAGGATTATATTGGGTGAATCATCACTTCTTTAGACATGAAATGTCCAGGTTATGGTTATCATCATAGTGATGGTGTGTGCCTCCAAGGTATTTCTGACTTACAGCGAGCCTACAGTGACTCTATCTTGGATATGCCTTCCCCTGAGGCTGAGAAAGTGCAGTTTGTGCAAGGTCAACTTCCCTGGCCAAGTGGGGGTTCGAAACTTAGTCTCTAGGACCAGAATGGTCTTTGATTGTAGGTGAACTGTAAATCCCAGAAACCACAACTACCAAATGTCAAGGTCCATTCTCCCCAAACTCCACCAGTGTTCACATTTGGACATATTGAGTATTCATGCCAAGTTAGGTCCAGATCTATCATTGTATTGTCGAAGGCTTTCATGGCTGGAATCACTGGATTGTTGTAGGTTTTTCGGGCTATATGGCCATATTCTAGAGGCATTCTCTCCTGACGTTTTGCCTGCATCTATGGCAAGCATCCTCAGAGGTAGTGAGGTCTGTTGGAACTAGGAAAATATGTGGAATGACCAGGGTGGGACAAATAACTCTTGTTTGTTGGAGCTAGGTGTGAATGTTTCAACTGACTACCTTGCACTGCAGACTACTTCAACCAGAGAAGTCAGTCATAGCAGAGCACCTGATGAACCAA